ATTTCTTTTATATATCCCACAGACTTCTGTACATTCTGTATGTAATAGCTTCTTATATGCCATGCAGAATTATCAGCAAGAATTTATGATCCACAATATTAAAAATATTCCCTTTGTGGCTGTTGAACATGGAAAGATGTGGATACTCAAGATTTATATTGGGGAAAATTGTGGTCCTTGGTAAAGATGGTAAAGTAAAAGCCTCCATTTATGTGTTCCATTAGCTCTATGCAGAACAGGATTCAGAAAATGCTTATTTAAATAGGGTGGAATTTATTACCCAGAAAGTTCTGAAAAAAAATTATTAGGAGATAACTGTTCTCTAGGGTGCTAAATGAAGCCTACTTAAAATTACTACTAAAAATTACAGAACGTAGGAGTTAACAGTATTTTGAAGTTTGGATAAAACTGATGTTTCTTTATGGTTAAATTCAGATTATAATTTATGTTATTTGGGAGGAATATTTCAATAGTGATGCTGTGTTCTTCTGTGAGCATTACCACATCATAAAATTTTGTCCTAGTGCAGTTAATGGTTAATGAGTCACTTGGTGAAGTAGCTCTCTGACAGATTTTTTCCACTATAGTTAATTATTTTTTCTCTTCATTGTTAAGCATCCTTATGCAGCAGATTTGCATAAACCATCACATTTAATCTGGCAGTTGTCCTTTTTTCTTTTTTTCCTACATAATTTTCTATGGAAAATGAAGGCTGTTATCTTTGTTTACAGGCCAGAAAAACTTGGAAAAACACAGGCTCTTCCACTTACTGGATGTTTGACAAAATATCCTTCTTGAGCCAAAAACATTGACATTATTGGTGAGCTTGTTACAAATTCAAAAAATCAGACTTCATTCCAGGTCTTCTGGGAAAAAAACCCCGCATAACAAGGTCTTCAGCTTATTGTACATATTAAAATTTGAGCGGTGCCTTCTAACTCAACATGTCTTCTCCATATGAAAAATATTCACATCTCATTCTGTATGATGTAAATATAGCACTCAAAAATGTACATGTTCATGCCCTTACTTTTATACTTTATTATCTAGAAAAATATCATATATGAACTGATGTTATGGATCTTATGCTGCCCTTTTTTTCTCAGAGAATACATTTAGAGAATATTTCTGTGTTGAAAATTATTTTATTGGATAATTTTAGTCCTATAAGTCAGAACCACTTCTCTTTGCTCTCTAATTTCACCTTAAGTCAAAATAAAAATTCTGCCCATGGCCACTTGGTAAAAATGTGTGTCTGTGTTTGTGTTTCAGGGACCATTGCAATTTAGAGATGTGGCCATAGAATTTTCTCTGGAGGAGTGGCATTGCCTGGACACTGCACAGCGAAATCTATATAAGAATGTGATGTTAGAGAACTACAGTAACCTGGTCTTCCTTGGTGAGGATAACTTTAATACATAATTCATAATATACCCGAAAGGTTTTATTTCTCTTTTTTTGTAGAATGTTTTTTAGTAATTTATTCTTTGCGTAAAGGAGTTTCAGATCCATTTTTTCCAGAAAATCTTCAGAATTTGTTCATTTAGAAAAGAGAATCTTCAGTGCTTCTGGCCTGTAATCCCAGCACTTTGGGAGGCTGGGGTGGGGGGATTGCCTGAGGCCAGGAGTTTGAGACCAGCCTGGCCAACATGGTCAAACCCCATCTCTACTAAAAATACAAAAAATTAGCCATGCATGGTGGCACGCGGCTGTAATCCCAGCTACTTCGGAGGGTGAGGCAGGAGAATTGCTGGAACCCAGGATGCGGAGGTTGCTGTGAGCCGAGATCGCGCCATTGCACTCCGCCTGGACGACAGAGCAAGATTATGTCTGAAGAAAAAAAATTTTTTCTTCAAGATGTTTCATCTTAATCCAATCTTTCCACATTCCTGAGTTGAGTTGAGAGGTTTCCACATTCCTGAAACCTCTTCAAGTTTCCATAAACTGATGTTTCATCTTAATCCAATCTTTCCACATTCCTGAGTTGAGCTGTATTTTTCACTCTAAATTAGAGGTAATTACAAAAATTTACGGACATAAAATATTGTAGCCCCCACCTGAAAATCTAAATGCCACCACCAATTTTTGATTCCGTAGTACCAGGTAGTAAAATTAAGAAACCTACAAATTGGAAGTATTTTCTTTTTCCTTTTTTTATTTATATTTTTGAGATGGAGTCTTGCTCTGTTGCCCAGGCTGGAGTGCAGTGGCGTGATCTTGGCTTACTGCAACCTCCGACTCCTGGGTTCAAGCAATTCTCCTGCCTCAGTCTCCCGAGTAGCTGGGACTACAGGCATGCGTTACCATGCTCGGCTGAGTTTTGTATTTTTAGTAGAGATGGGGTTTCACCACGTTTCCCAGGCTGGTCTCCAACTCCTGACTTCATGATCCGCCCACCTTGGCCTCCCCCTGACCTTGTGTTCCACCCGCTTTGGCCTCCCAAAGTGCTGGGATTATAGGCATAAGCCACTGCACCCGGTAAATAGGAAGTATTGTTTAAATATCTATAAATTTCTGTTATACATTTGTATTTTGGTATTAATTTACTAGAATATTTTATCACATCGTCTTTGCTGAGCATGTTACTAGCTTGTAATTGAAGAATATCAGCAAGATTCATGTTATTTATTCTTAATAAAACAGGTATTGTTGTCTCTAAGCCAGACTTGATCACCCGTCTGGAGCAAGGAAAAAAACCTTTGACTATGAAGAGACATGAGATGGTAGCCAAGCCCCCAGGTAGGTGCGAGTGAAAATGAATACAACAGACAACACAGTAAGAGGTCCCAAGGTCAAAGAGAAAGCCAGTCCTTAAAATGTGATTCGGGAAGCTGTGTTCCAAAGGAAATAGTTCCTGGGCAGTTGTTTTTTGTTTTTGTTTTGTTTTTTAATTTTGGTGTCACAAAGGGACATCTTCTGTCTTATGCTTTTAAATTCTCTAAGGATTCTACTTTTCATTTGGTGAGCTTTCTTCAAGTTCACAGTGAGAGCCAAAGTCCTCTTCATGGCATATAAGAGACTGCACAATCTGGCTGCTTTTCCATTGTTTTGGGGACACACAAATATCTGCATGATTTTGAGAAACTAAAACTACTTTTTAGTTCTATTTTTGCATCGGGTCTGAAATGTGTGAGAGTAGTAGTTTCTGTTGCATTTTTTTGTTCATTTTTCTTTATAGTCCATTACATTTTTATTACTATATAGTTTTTAAATATAATTTGCAATTATACATATGATATGTTTCTGCTTTGTTCTTTTTCCTCAAGATTGCTTTGGCTATTCACACTTTATTGTAGTTTCATGTAAGGTTTAGAATTCTATTTTCCATTACTGTGAAAAAAATACCACTGCAATTTTGATAGGAAGTTTATTGAATCTGTAGATTACTTTGGATGACACTTTAATAATACTTATTCTTTCAAGCTACAGACAGAAAATATTTTAAAATTA